ATCATCTTATTTTGTAATTAATTTTGAAGAAATTTTTGATTTGGTAAATTGGTGGTTCAAATGTAAGCAATGTATTTAAAAAAGAAAAGAAAAAACAAAGCAACTAATAAAAGCTTAGAATAGAGATTAGATTCATCTTTAAGGAATTACTGCTACATTTTTAGCATGAAGCCCCATTAAAAGCCTAGTTGGAGAACTGGTCTTGTTTTTAGTTTAGTCTACCAGAACACTCTAGATTAGGAGTGGCAGCAGTAGGCCATTATCTGTCAGCAGGAATCACAACGAACTAAAAAAAAACCTGGAAATTGTTTTAGCATACAGTTTTAAAACCAACAAGATTTTGAAGATTTATGCAACTGAAACGTGTCAGCTTTATCAGATTTTCTGTCCATAAAATATTGTAGCAGGGAATGTTGTCACTTACAGTATCATACTTACAAACTCATCTTGAAAAACCTGTTATGTATCATGTGCCAAAAGGTTGGGGGGGGGGGGAGAAAAAGCAAGCAAAACGGGACACAGGAGGACAGCCTGACAAGGAAGAGCTGATAGAACGATAAAAGGAAGGAGAGAGCTGAAAAAATTAAGGAAGAGATTTACAGGGCTCTTCCTGTGGAGCTTAAAATAGGTTTTAGACCCTGATTTAAGGCTGCATTAATTTCTCGTGTCCTCAAAAGCAGTGAAAAAAAATAATAGAAACACCGGAAAGATACGAGGCAGTTGGTGAAAGAAAGAGAGGAGTTGGATACAATGACAGAGGCTGAAATATGCTTTCAGTTTGACATATGTACTGGATAATAAACCTTGAATGATCTTGAATGTTCTAACAATGAGACGTATGATGGAATAAACATTTATTGCAAGCATTAAAACAAAACGTTATGAGGAGAATACAAGTACAAAGGTTAAAAGTAAGAAGTCAAATCAAGAGAAAGAGAGAAGTGGAATGGGGAATGGCACTTTACAAAGCCAGTAGGGTGAAAGCAAAGTGAAAGTACACCAGGAACTGCCAAAAACATACCAGTATAAATTGTTCACAGTGATGATAAAGTTTGAAAAACAATGTTTTAAAAGTTCTCACCAACATCTCAGAGTAGTGCGTCCTGCCCTGTAGCCCCGTCTGCCAACAGCACTGGGAGTCTAAACTTCCTCTTTAAATACTCTAGAGATTCATTTCACTTTCACTTCTCCTGATCAGACAAAACTCCTCCTTTCCTTCCTTTATCCACTCCCTCCCTGTCTCCTCTCCCTGCTGGAGAGAGACAACACGTTCTATTTTGCCTTTTTAAAATGTTCTTTATTTCAAATACGCTGTAGCTGAAGATAAATTATTCATTATATTATTATTTTTGTCATTTTACTTGCTGCAGCAATCAGTTGTCATTTAAAGTTGGACTTCTTTTGTTGTCTTTCAGTTTATTTGTTAAACCTGAATTGATTAGGTATAATTTAATTTAAATATTTTTATATAGAATGAGATACATTCAAACATTAATATAGTCTCGTTTTAATATCTTACGGACAGATACGTGAAGTAAAATCAGTTCAGAATGTACACTGATCCCAGTTTGTCATAATGGTTATGTGTTATGACTTAAATGTATTTAATTTAGATATTGTATACAGAGTTTGCACATTGACTGATTTAACTGTTTTCTCAGTTTTTCCAGTTGTGGTGTCTGTTGTGGGTAACGTCAACATTTATATCTATTAAAATTTTATAAAGGGTCCGGTCACCCAAAACAATATTTAGTTTTGGTTTTATCTGTTATGTTAAACATTTTAAATACAGAAACAAATGACAAAACAGACCCTGTGACGAGTTTGCACTAGAAATACTTGATGCTAAAACTGCCCCCATGAAAACTGTTAATGGCGTGTTTAGTGAATTATCCTGACTAAAGAGGACACTACTTCTAGAAAGAGATGTTGGTGTTACATTTTTCTACATGTAATTATTCTGTGCTGTAAGCACCACAAACACAATTAGAGTGATGATATCACAAAACAAATAAAACCAAATATCTGTGTCGCTAGATACCACATGAGGTAGAACCTCTCTTTTTCTAATGTGCGTAAACCAGCCAGTGTTTTTTATTTGCTGCAAATAAAGCTCCTTGCTGCTTTGCTGCCATTTTAGTCCCCTGTACAATGCATTTGTTAATATGTGCTTGTATTATTTGTAATTTGGCCATTTCTTCATTATTTACCTTAAATTTTCACTTTATTATTTAGAAAATGATATTTAAAAAGTTACATAGATGATATTCATAAAGTTACATATAGTTTTCTCCAGAAGACCAGCTTGGTCAATTCCACCTTTAGTGTTGTTAATGTAATATTTTTCTTGGTCTCAAACTTAGGCATGTATGGTTACTTTATTTGCTAGGACTGTCCCCAAAAATATTTCACCCTACATTTTCTCCACAAACTTTAGACCATCTTTTTTAAAAATACATTTTTGACAGTCCGTCCTTTTTAATTGTTTAGCACGGTGAATGTTAAGTCTGCCTTTGGATATGTATGTGGCATACAAACCACCCATTATCATTAGGTGATGTAGTAGATTGAGAAGTAGTTTGTTTCAACAGCATTTCAGTAATATATTTCAGTTAATAAATATGGCTTATTAAGACATGCTTAACATGGAAATATAGTAGTTTTATCAAAATAAGTTACATGCAGTGTGGCATTTTAAATAATGCCGAAGTTGTAATGATTGTAATAAAAGTTTTCCATGAATCACACATATATATATATATATATAAATCTTGCTCTTTCAGTTGTGAGAATTTAATTAGAAACATCTGCATGTGGCATGATGTGAGACAGGTGTGACCAACAGAGTGCAACTAAATGAGTCCCGTCAGTTCCTCTGGGTTTCAGCTCGGAAAGTCCGGTGGATTTGGCCAGTCGCTGATCCTCCCCCAGAGACCTCCAGCAGGCTGAAGGAAGGTGAAGTAGGTAAGAGAGATAAGGTGGCTGCTTGTTCTCTGATGGCGGAAATCTGAGTAGCCTATCAATCCTATCCTTGAATGTACTGCAGTTATTAACAGTTCAGCAGTAATTCAGTTTATCTGGCTGGGTAGGCTTGCGACAAATTGGGCCTTTACTTCTCTACAGTGAATACTGAAATAAATTACACGTTTTGGACTTTCAGTGTTTCTAAGTTAACCTTAGCTTCTCCAGGAAACTCCTTTCAGTTAAGAGCTATGGAAATGACTCTCTTATATGTAAAAAAGTTAGGAAATTATAGGACAAAGATTTGTTTATATATATTTGATAGATGCATTACCTACAGTTTAGTAGGAAAGCCTGTCCTGATAGTATTTGTAGTTTTGACCCAATTCCCTTCCTTTTAGTTTTGGATGTTTGATCATCTGGAACTTTAACCAGTGCTATATTTGTTAGGTCTGCCTTCAAAAATATATAATATTTAGTCAAAGACCAACTTCATAAATGATGGGATTGTCACCCCTGGTTTCCTACACCAGATAAACAGAAACTAGATCTGTTGGTTGTTGAGCTGACCGTTTCTCATTAGACACCACAAGCTGCAGCACGTCTTCTTAGGTTAAGCCTCTCCTCTGCACGTAACATGAGAATCCAGCAATAACCTACTACACATAAATGTTAGTCCAAATTATAAACAACTGACAGTTGATAGCGGCTCTTGGAAAAACATGCTTTATTATTAGACAAATTTTTTGTCTTACAATGGACACACCAGACATTTTATGTTATCCAAACATGAAAGGCAAAGGAGGACTCAACCACACGTGCACTGATTGATAAATGCTTACTTCTCCTTCACTCACACAAACGACTTTGCTAAACAGACAATGCATAGATGACACTGGCAGGAAGACTGATGGATCCTTAGGGGTGTGTGTGTGTGTGTGTGTGTGTGTGTGTCAAATCTTGACAGACTAATTTGTATGAAAAGTTAATTGTGAAAATGTAGAGTATTAATCTAGGATGGTCTGGCATGTGCATTTGCATAATGTTTCTGTGGGAAGGACTCTCCATCTGTAGGCTGAATGGCTGGCTTCTTCTCAAAACAGACGTTTCTCATAACTGTTGGAGAAAGAAGAGTCGGTTAGTGAGGAAAAGATCACATAGCTAGCTATAATGCTCCCTGAGGTTTCCTGTTAAGACAGACTGGAGGCGCTAAAGAGGAAGTTTAACTGAAAGCTTGTGTGACTGAACTTTTAAGATGATGGAATATGAAACCAAACAACAACAAAGTTGTATCTATGTAGTTGAGTAGATCTGTACAGAAGAAACACCAGTTTTTGTTGCGGGGGGTGTGTGTGTGTGTGTGTGCGTGTGTGTACCTGTGCAGGCTATGGACACCACCCTCCATTTGAGCTGACGTTGTCCTCTTTTCAAATTTCAGATCTCCAGAGTACATCATGGCTCTGCCAGGAGGAAGAAATGCTGTTACAAAACAGTTTGGCACAAGGGGAAGAATAAATTGTGACACAAACGGCAGGCCAGTGCCAAGGCTAAAGCTGTATCCCAAATCAATGACTTTCATTGCCACAGAATACTGTTATAGCAGTTAGTATGTGGCAGACAATAATATAAGATATGCCTTTTATTGATCCCCTGTAGGGGAAATTCGTGCTGGCACAGCTGCGCAGAAGAATGTAAAGAACAAGATACAATTAAGTTACTGAGCGGGGTCACCATTGCTGTGCTGAATCAAAAACTGCAGAGTTCCAAACCTCCTCTGACAACAACATCAGCACAAAAACTCTCTGCCGGGAGCTTCATGGCATGGGTTTCCATGGCCAAGCAGCTGCATGCAAGCTAGTGTTGTACTACTTGAGACTGGTTTTAAGACCACTTTTTTATGGTCTTGTCTCAGACTTGACCGCATTTGTACTCTGTCTTGTCTCTGTTTCGGACATTGGAGGACTTGGGATTTTATTTCAAGACCAGTCAAGACCATGACTTTGGGAATATCAATAAATTTCTTTTGCATTGTCTGCATGCTAACTTTGATTGGATGTAAAACATACGGCTTCAAATGCAACCAATAACCCTAATTAAAAATGTGTTGTTAGTGTTAACCACTGTTCCCCCTCCCCACGATGGTAAACATGGAAAAGGAGTGTTGAATAAAGATACTTACGTTGATTTCTGCTCTTAGTGTTTGTATGTGGGTGTTTTAATGGGAATGTGGATCTTTCAGATCAATTTGAGAAGTACCTATGATCTCGTTCCACATTTTATTGTAACATTTCTGTACACATATTTTGAAGGAGCACTCAGTCAAGGTGAGTTAGATGAAATGAGAAGACTTCAATATTGGGAGGGGTTAAATTGTTTTATACCAACTAAATGAAAGGTCAGATTAATAAACTAGTCAGAAAAAAGTGAATGTATGCTGGACATAATATACTGATTACCAGCCAGTCAGATTTGTACACATTACACTGTACAAATCTGACTGTTAACACATTATATAGGCCAAAACAGCTATTTTGACAAACATATGAAAAAATACCACCCAGCCTAGTACAATATGGCAAAGATGTATTGCACTGAGTGTACTGAATTTTTCAGACGAAAGTTATTAGTCAATGCATTCATGAAGCTTATATAGAATTAAATACTGTATTACATGAGAATTATAATTCCAGATGGAAAATCCCCTAATATTTTACTATTCTGTACCCAAGCATTTTATTATCGATTATTTTCTCTTCTATGGTCCCTTAAGGCTCAGTAGAATGCAGTTTTAAACACTTATCTGTGTGTTTTTACCTGAGCTGTGTAAGGCTCTTGGCTCCGATATCCTGACAGGAGTGCTGAATGCCAGCCAGCAGGTAGGGAACAAACTTATGGATTGAGCCTTTGTCCTGCACCGCTCCAGAAACACCCTGAGCAACTTTAATCTTATCACTCTCACTGTGAGGAAAGAGGAGGGGGAAAAGATTGAATTATATGATAGGGTTAGTGGCATACAATAAGTGTGAACTTTTGTAGCTATCAAAAATTGACATTTAAAGCAGATCGTCTTGTACAACATGTATACTGCTACTGTGTGGCTAATGATTTGATCCATAATAAGGTGACTGCATTAAAGTCTTTTGAAAACTCTTCCTTTTGAGAGTGTTGTGATATTTACTATCAAACTATAATAAACCTTTAATAGTATTAGGTAAAATGTCTGCCAACACTACAAATCTGTGAAACACAGGTTACCCATGTGTAATAATAACCATATATAACTTTTTAAAAACAAGTCAATAAGATCCAAAACACAAGACATAAAACATGATCAAATAATTCAGTTAAGAAAACCATAAAATAATAATACATTTATAGCAGAGATTTAAGAGAGAGCACTGAGTTTGCCTGCTTGAGATCCCCATGCAGGGTTTTCTACTTGTGAGAGGCGCGGTAACCTTTAGTCACAAGTTGAGATTTTGGAACTATTAGTACGGTCCTGCCAGATGATCTTAAGCAGGGATCAGGCTCAAAGGAAGTTAGCAGATCAAAGGTATAGGCAGGAGCCTGACCATTCAAGGCTTTCACAACAATCTTGAATTCTAAAACTCACAGGTAACCAATGAAGGGAAGAAAGGATTGTTGATGTGGATGTGGTCGCTTCTCTTAGTATGAGTTTTAGGGTAATCCCAAATTATAAACTTTGGTCAATTGTAATAATACAATCTGTATCATCCCCAACATGAGCAAGCAAAAAGTGCTTGCTCATGGTCTCTGTAAATAATAATAAAAAGTGCGGTCTAGATTAGGGCTGTCACAAGATACTTCGGTACCAAGTCGATGCCAAAATTTAAAAAAAACATGGTGGTACTCGTTTTTCTACAGTACCGTATGTACCGGGGATCCAACACATGGACAGGGTGAAGTTATTTTAATATTTAACATTCGGTTTTCACAGCTGTTACCTTCAATAGCTCTGTGTGAAAGCCTCAATTTCTCCCAGTTTTGTGATATGTTGAAGAGCTAACTTAGAAAGATGTTTAACAGTATTGATCAACTCAAAATCACCAAAGATGACGATGCAGTTTACAGCACAAAGAAAACGCATCTGACACCATAGTGGAGTAGAGGACCATCTTAAAAGGTGCATTACAATCCATTTCAATTATCAATAACTTTAGATAATAACAGAAATCTCAAACAATACAGATGATGTCCACCCTTTAACATTTCACACCTGTGAATTAAGTTAAGAAAATATATTAATTAATTAAGTACATTGCAAGTTTTTAATTTCAATAGCTCGCTCATCTATGATTATATTGACATCAAATCATCTGTCCATCTGTCCTGGACATCCTCTCTTTCACAGGAGTTAATTTCCTGAAAAGCGGGGCAGGGCTTGTCTTATAAAGCCTATGTTTTTATGTAGCGCATCATCCTGGAGCAGATATGGTAAATATGGCCATGATGCCACCCAGAGGACGATGCGCAAAGCAACACCGCTTCACACAAGACACAGAGGGGATAACGTGAAGCTACCTGAGCTACCTGAGCGCTACAAAAACAGAACTGATAGCATAGATAGTGGTGGCGGCAGCAGCACACGCAAGTCTGACAGCTGGTCCCCTTACAACTGAGAGAAAAGGAAGAGGTCTTTCGTGATCAGCTAATCAGAAAAAGTCTGGCCAGGTAATTAGCCTCAGCTAAGGCCGATTTTTCGAAATTTCTGGTATCGTGACATCCCCAGTCTAGATCTTCTGCTGTATATGAAAATGCAATGAAATAACTTCTTTATGAATTGGCACTAAATAAATGAAATTGAAATAAATTCAACTGAAAGCCCTGTTTTTGTACTTCTATACCTGAAGTATCTGGTCTGGGAGCCCAGGTTTTTGTCCATGGCATCCAAGGAGCCCATCCCTCGGTATTTCTTCAACCGGATGCCGTCAGAGAAGAAATATTCACCAGGAGCTTCACTGGTGGCAGCCAGAAGAGAGCCCATCATCACTGGACACAGAGGGAAGTTAAGTTATTAAATGGGAAGACTAGGAGAAGACTAGAAGACAAGAGATTAATGATGCCTAACTGAAAGGCTTCATTGGTATAAAAGTTGGGGGAAAGTTAGTCTTTTTGCTTTATTCCTCCAGTGCAATTAAGATTTCACACCAAGCGAAGTATACAACATAATCCAAATCTACTGTTCAAATTATAATCCTCAGTATGGAAGCCTATTAAAATGACGATGTAACGTTCACAATGAAAATGTAATTCCACAATAGCGTTTAAACTGTCCACATGTTATTTGAGTACTTCCTTGTCATTTTTAATCTTGTTTAGGAGTTCTGTGAGCATATTAAAATGAAAATGGAAATGCTGTTTGACATAAATTTGCATTGTAATTTTTATTGTGACTTGTGGCATTTTATTAAAACATTTGAATCATCTTGTGAATATTGGCCACTGTATATAGCCTTTCCATTTTCATTTTAATATGATCATGGAACATTTCAATTTAAAAATGCAGCTGCTGTCAACACAAAATCAGCGAATCCGAACACCTAAAACAGAGAAGTTTTTGTTTTAAAACTCTGGGGTAGCGCATTATCCGCAAAACAAAAATACAATGCTACTGACTGACATTCATACCTTCTTTAAAATGGATTTGAAAAAAACAAATATAGATCTTGTAGTCAAACCTGAAGCTAAATAGTTTTATTTTTAATTTAGTCCATCTATCTCATCAATCATCAAAATATTTAAATGATAAACTCCTGCACAATGAATCTGAAACACTTATCTATCCATACCTGTGGATGCTCCCAGTGCCAGGGCTTTGGCAATTTGCCCGACAGTCTGGATGCCGCCATCAGCGATGACCGGCACACCGAAACGCCGGGCGTACTCTGATACCTTATAGACGGCTGTAGCCTGGGGTCTGCCGCACGCCAGCACTGAAAGGAGGAAGGCGAGAGACAGAGGAGGTTTAAATGATGTAAGAGAATATCTACAGCTGTAGAAGTTGTCACGATGAGACAAGACGTAGTTCAGATGACTGTCTTTACTATTACACCGGCCTTCACCTACCAGAGAATGCACAACTAAAACTCGTGAAAAGCTAACAAAGCTAAACACAAAGCTTTCATGTTGTAAATTTGAATAAGCTGCTGGCTCTGCCACTTGTATCATCTGCTGGCTGATAATTTGATAAACTGACAATAAAAACTTCCCAAATGTAAAAAGAGAGGTCAGTTTTGATTGGCATGCACAGCGGAAAAACACAGCAAAGTGATGTTAAAAATCTTTTTTTTTGTGTCTTTGAATCACACAGTGAATGAGCAAACAAGCTGGGAACGTGTCTTTCTGTTTCTGTTCTGTTTGTTGTTGAAGAAACGTGAGATGAGGAAATTAAAATGGTCACATCAGCAGACACGACCACACTGCCCTCTGAATCCAAACCCGTCTCATACAATATATGCTGTCTCAATTAAGCCGAACATACATGCTAATCAATTGATTTAAATGAGATCTTTAAGATTTCAACCAATAATCTTTCACACCATCAAGTGAGGGACACTGGCGCTCAAATTTACTAAATGCCAACAAAGACAAACAACCTAATTCCTTTTTTACTCCTAGAGTCATTTTGCTTCCTGTGAACTCAGGGCAGCATTTATAATGTTAGTAATCCTGCTGTATTGATAGCCACGATGTAAGAGAGGAAAGCAAAGTAAACTCATGTTGATGGTAAGCAATGTTGAAGTAGGCAATTTGAATCCAGTGTGGGAATGGTGGACTCTGCCACTGACAATGAAAACAAATAAATAGAGGGGTACAGAATGTATATATTCTGAATGGCTATTGCTGAAAACAAAAATGGGTTTGAGTAAATGAAAATGTTAAGGATCGTAACTTTAATACTGAACTACAGTAGCTTATGGGAAACCTGTCAGTCTAATCTTGACTTCTAAATTATAATTTAGTACTGCTACTTTTGCTTGCTTTAGGGAAAAGTATTATGACATACAGTGTAGGTGATTATAAACCGTGTAGCCCAATCTCAATCAGATTTATTTTCAAGTTGGTTTTACACATACAAAGAATGTCTTTTTGCAAATAGGTGTTCAACAACAATAAACATATAAATAGATGAAATTAACAAAATATATACACAGGTGCATCTCAGAAAATTTGAATATTGTGGAAAAGTAAATATTTTTCTGTAACTTTTATATATTCTAGATTCGTTACATAAATTTAAATATTTCAGGCCTTTTTTTTTGTTTTAATCTTGATGATTACAGCTTATAGCTCAAAGAAATCAAAAATCCATCTCTCAAAATATTAGAATAAAGAATGTATAACACAGAAATGTCGACCTGAGAAGAGCCTTTAATCTCTCAGTCTGGTTCATTAAACACAACAACAATCATAGGGAAGACTTCTGACAGAAGAGGCTCACTCACAGTCTCCATAAGCCACACAAGGTCACTGCTGAAAGTGCTGGCTGGTCACAGAGTGCTGTATCAAAGCATATTCATGGGAAGTTGACTGAAAGGTAAAGCTGTGGTAGGAAAAGTTGAACTAGCAACAAGGATGACCGCAGTTTGTCAAGCAAAGACGAGCCAAGAACTTGAGGAGCTTCACAAGGAGTGGACTGAGGCTGGAGTCAGAGCATCAAGAGCCACCAGGCACAGACGTGTCCAGGAAATGAGCTACAAGCGTCGCGCCGCTAGTGTCAAGCCATTCCTGAACCACAAGCCGTGTCAGAAGCATCTTTCCTGGGCTAAGGAGAGAAAGAACTGGACCGTTGGCTCAGTGGTCCAAAGTCCTCTTTTCACATGAAAGTAAATTCTGCATTTCATTTGGAAATCCAGTTCCCAGAGTCTGGAGGATGAGTGGAGAGGCACAGTTTCCAAGTTGCTTGAAGTCCAGTGCAGAAGATTCCACAGTCAGTGATGGTTTGGGGTGCCATGTCATGTGCCGGTGCTGGTCCACTGTGTTTTATCAAGTCCAAAGTCAATGCAGCAGTCTACCAGGAGATTTTAGAGCACTTCATGCTTCCATCTGTTGAGAAGCTTCATGGGAATGCAGATTTCCTTCTGCAACAGTGCCAAAACCACTAGTAACTGGTTTGCTACCCATGGTACTACTGTGACTACTTGACTGGCCAGCAAAGAGAATCTGTGGTATTGTTAAGAAGAAAATGAGAGGCACCAGAACAATGCAGACAAGGCCGCTATCAAAGCAACCTGGGCCTCCATAAGGGTGACTGCCTCCATGCCACGCAGCAGTGATGCAGTAATCCATGCAGAAGGAGCCCAGACCTTTTGCATGAAGTACTGAGTGCATAAATTTACTTTTTTCAGAAGGTCGACATTTCTGTATTATACAGTTTTTATTCTAATATTTGAGATATGGATTTTTGCACGAGTGTATGTTATATATATTCAATATTCAAAAAATTATTCAATATGTTCAGTAAATCACAATCCTGTCACAGAAGCAGCACACAGAGGGTTTAGACTTAAAACCAGCCACCATCTGACCAATGGTATCCATAGGCAACCGAAGGACACAAGTGGATAGTGTCTCAATCTGATGACATCATCAAGACCAGGGACCAAAAGGTCAGTAAAGTGGGTGGAGTAAAAGCAACACTCATTTAAGATGATTTACAGATTAGTGAGAACACAGAAACAAGCAAAACCCTAAAACCCCAGAACACAAGGCCGACTCTCAAAACAAACAAATACCTGCTACCAATACCTGCTACTTCTACCAGTGCAAAGCTGTTAACCAATCAATGCAGCAGGCTGTGAAGTTTGGGGGGGGGGGGGGGGGGGGCACACTGTGACAGTGGAGCCAATGAGAGCCCACCACAGGCCAAAGGGGGTGGGAAAACTTACTGGAGTATCCCGTAACAGTGGTTGGGGTTTTGGGGCTGTGAAGCTTTATTGCTGGTGGTACACTGGGGGGAGCTGGACATGGATACACACATACACAAATACACTCATACAAACACCAGGGTGGGAGAGAATTTAAGAGGGAGAAAGCCAAGAGAATGAAGAGACAACTTAAGTCAGAGATAACAAGATGCACACAGACACTACCTACTGTATGCTCAACTCTGCCAGACAAATCACAGCTAAAAGTAAACCAATGACAATTTAGATTCAAAATCCAAAAGTTGTTTTTACAAAAAATCTGTTTAAATTCAAATCAGCTTCATTTTCTCTGTGAACTGACCCCTAAATGCACAATTTAACCAACTACAGCCAGTTGGTCACCATGCCATATCGGGTGATCACAGTACCTGACATGACATGGCGAACAGAAATGTCAGACTGATCCCTGACCAATCATAGCTTGTCTTATACAACCTGCATAACTTAATGGCAAAAGGCACCAGAGACAGACTTCCAGGATCAGAACTGTCAACACACACTGCACCCTAATCAGAGCACGTCACAGACATCAAACTATCTGAGAGAAGGCAAAATTATTCTGACATGCTTGCTTTCCATCTGAGCCTCCTGAGTCCTACGTGCAGAATCCGTTATCTTCCACTAAGACATACTACCCAGGAATTGATGAACCACATAATATTTTTGTGTCATCACCGAGCTGATATGTACAGGTGCCTATTGTGAAAAGGTTTCCTGTAATTTAATTCAAAAAGTGAAACTTTCATATAATTGAGATATATAGAAATTTAATATTTAAATTTATGTGTAATAAATCTAGAATATATGAAAGTTTCACTTTTGGACTTAAGTTACAGAAAAAAAAGAACACTTTTTACAATATTTTACTTTATATTTCTGAGATGCACCTGTAGTTTGGTCCCAGCATTAGGATCAGTCAAGCAAAGCAGATATTTAACATCCCACTTTCTACTGCCAAAATAAAGGCAATCAAAATGTTGAACAAAATGACTTGATTTTACTTTCAGCCTTTGATTGGCATTTACTGCATTAAAGGCTCCAGACTGGCTGACTGTTGGGGGGGGGGGGGGGGGGGGGGTCACTCACCTTCCTGTGTGATGCAGATGGAGCCGCTGCCCATACCCACTCTTAGCGCATCCACTCCTGCATCAATCAGGTTCTTAGCCTGAGCTGCAGTCACCACTGCAGCAGACATGGGGAGACAGAGAGGCTGTTGGAGCTCGATAACGACAATGTTCTTGCAATGTGTCCCTCTAACTTTAAGCAATGTGATCAACAAGCCACTACAACTGAAACTATTTTCATTAGTATTGGGGGCATCAAGGAAACTTAACCAATTGTTTGGACACTGAGAAACATGACACAGCTGATCTTTTTGCAGTCACAGCCAATGACAAACACTGGCTCAGTGTGAGTCCCCTTTTAATAAATATGATTGATATAAATATGATTGATATATATATGATTTTGACTAACCATCAACAGGTCAGTAAACAAGTGCAAATGTAAGGAAAGACCTTTTCTGGTTATTTTGACATGTTGGTGCATAGGTAAAGATAAGTGTAGTTACCATTGCCTCCGATGACCTGTAGGTTTGGATACTTTTCTTTTATATATTTGATCATATTGATCTGGAAGATTGAGTTGCCCTGGGATGAGTCCTGCAGGTACAGAAGGAACACAAAACATTTTTATTTACAGAGCATCACAAATCTCAATTTGTTCACTTAACAGCTAGTAGACGACCTAAAACCTAAGTCAAATGTAGGGAATCCAGATCAAATCTGTCTGAACACCATTACACTTTATCCCAAGTTTGAGATCAAAGTTTTCATCGCTGTGGATCATCTCTAATTAACCCGCTGCTGCTGGGGCACAAAACCCAGGTCTGATCCTAGGATGCATGTTCGAGTCATGAAAAACATAATCTCTCATTAACCCACTCAGTGGCAGCAAGTCTTTACAAAATTGAATAAATTGTATATTGTATACAAAAAAAATGCAGACTTGTTTCATTGATTTTGATATCTGGTCTGTCATGCACCGGAGTCCCTCAATGATTACTACACTATGTAAACCCAGTTAATCTATTACAAATCTGTGAAAGAGCTCACTTTAAGTCTTTTCAGCAGTTCCAGTACTGACCAGTGTTGCGAGATCTCACAAGAGAAACAAGCAACCAGGTCTATGGAAACAAGCCCAAGTGAAGCGACTTGGCTTTCCAAAACATGAATAAATAAAAAGCCCAAAACAGGCAACCTTACTAGGGATGTACCGAAATGAAAATTCTTTGCCAAAGCCAAAACCAAATATAATGAAAAAAATTGTCGAACACCAAACAAGTACATTCACATTTTTTCCTTTTATTTTGCCATTGCATACATTAAATAATCAAAATGTTTTTAACTCAGTGTTTCCCACAGGATTTGGAGAGACTATGGGGGAGTAGATCCAAGGCCCAAGAGGGTCCGGTAAAGTACATTACATGTGTCCATTTACTTTTAATGGACACATGTAATATGTTTTATACTTTCTGTGAATATAATCCAATTAATCGCATCACTAGACCATACCTACCACAATGTCGCAGAGAGAGGCGCCACTTAATCCATTTATATATCACAGCATATATATGAATTTATTTTGCTGCTGTGTATGGGGCAAGGGAAGGGGGGGAAGGAACGGAATTTGTCGACAGATCCTGCAAAAGTACAAACTATCATGCATTTATATAACATCTCCTGAGGACTTTTTTAAAGATAAATTTTGAAGGCATTTTATTGACTTTACAAAAAACAAAGCTGTGGTACTGACAACTCAGTAACAAAGCTGAAACCACTTGAAAATAGTTTATTTGTTTTTTTGGAAACAAAGTCTGTAGTGTATCTCGGTAGACTAGTGAAAGCCAGTTTGAGCCCAAGCACCTGCACTAAAGGTTCTCCTCCTTACCAGTACAATTACATCCACCCCACTCTGCGCCAGCAGGTCCAGTCGGTACTTGTCGTCATTGTGGGTGCCGATGGCAGCACCACACAGCAGCTGTTTGCGGGAGTCTTTGGAAGCCAGAGGGAAGTCTCTGTTTTTCTTCAGGTCTGTGCGGGCGATGATGGACACCAGAGAGCCCTCTTCATTCACTATAGGCAGTTTACCTGCAGGAGGAGGGAGGTTAAACATGTACAGACACTGGTAACTGGAGGTAGGCTGATACAATTCAATTAACTCAAATCTTGGGATTCCTAAAAAAAACATGCAAATCATGCATACTCCTCCTTACCTTTCTTACTCCTCTGGAGGATTTCATTGGCTTCTTTCAGCGTCACTCCAGCAGGGGCGACCACTAGATCCTCTCGCTTTGTCATCACCTGTCAAAACAGTGACACACACAGATCATAAATAAAAGGAAGAATCTAAACTCAATGCAGAGGTTTCAGAAAACGTACTATTTCTGGGAGTTTTAGTTCTTTAAAATGTGACTGTGATATAAAAGTGAAAAACAGATCTATAGAAAATTTAAAAAATGTACTTGAATTTGAGCTTGGCTTTTACATCTATATATATATATATAAATTTTATTTGTTTATATATGTACACATACACACACACACACACACACACACACACGCGGTAGACCCCCTGAAACAACTAGTTTTGGCAGATATATTGGCAGATATGCAAGAAGACACATTATACACGCATTTATGCATATGCTGCCTTATTATTATTTATTTCAACATTAATATATTCAACTATATCAGTCCCAAAACCTCAGTATGTACTTAAATTCTTAGCAATTGAATACCAATATGTATCATAAAATCTTTATTCATCAATTTCATCCAGCTTTAAACATCATAGTACTTATAAATCACTTAAGGCTTATGTCAAAAGCCCAACAACCTCGCTCAGTGGCAGGCCGTGGTCCTCCTCCTTCAGAAAATCGATGTCTCTGGAAGAGATGATGCCCACCAGCTTGCCGCCCATTTTGCCGTTGTCTGTGATGGGGATTCCGCAGAAGCCGTGACGAGCCTTGGCCTGGAAGACGTCCCGTACACACTTGTTGGGGCTCATCACCACAGGGTCCGTGATGAAGCCCTGCTCGTAACGCTGGAGGACGTAGGGAAGGAGGGAAGTGAGGAAAAGGAGGTTTGAAGAAGAATAAAGGGCAAGAGAAAGAGCAGAGGTGTAGAACAAAAATTTAAAAAAAAAATGGAAAATGGGTGTAAGAGCCAGCATAGGAAGGAAGGAAGGAAGGAAAGAAAGAAAGAAAAGAAAGAAAAAGTAACAGCAGGGGAAAGCGTGTAAGGGAGTCAATTAGGGAGGGTTGGATAAAGAATATGTGAGTGTTCCACTATCTACACTCTAGAGCAGAGGAGCAAGGGAATATATTTCCAACTGACAGCAGCAAACAAAAACAGAGAAGAACAAAGACAAAGAGAAGCAGATGTAAGATAAAAGTTGAGGGGGAAAAAAAGGATCAAACAATCATGTGAAAGACTGAGGAGACTGGAAAAACAAAGATGACATGAAGGATAAATAGATAAGAAAGAATCTTAAAAGACAAAAGATAAGATGATGAAAGAAAGTGAAGAAGGGCTGAAGGAGTACAGAGAGAAAATAAAACCATACAGATAATAATCATCACCTTGACTTTGCGAACTTCATTGGCCTGGAACTCTGGAGTACAGTTGTGGTGGATGAAGCCAATACCGCCCGTTAGCTGGGAGGAGACAATACTTCAGTATGTGGGATTGGCATAGTATGCAAACACAATAGCAGGAACAATAAACACCCTAATAATGTAAAAGAAACAATTTGCTTGCTTCATACTTACCGCCATTGCGATGGCCATGCTGGCCTCTGTGACAGTGTCCATTGGAGAGGAGACGAGGGGAGTTTTCATGGTGATTTGTTTGGTGAGTGCTGAGGTCAGGTCCTGGACAAAGACATCAGGGGCCTCATTACAGAAACATATCCTAACTGCTAAAAGTTTCATAGACAGGAAAAATCCTATCTTCCTATTACAGAAGCTAAACTCATCATGGCTGTGCCTTATCCCATCTCAGACCTTGTATCTTATAGAACTGTAAACTTGATTCTTCAAATCATCCAGCGATGCATGTATCTGAGTTTAGAACAAGACTGCCTGTGACAGCCAGCTTTGACAACAGCTGTCTCACTTCATTGCCCCTTACTAGCTAGCTTGCTATAACAGACAATGGGTCTGAAAAGGCAACCCCACCGTTTTGGGAAGTTTTCATCCCAATTATCAGCTTGGGATAAAGATTTCAGTGGACAAAGCATGTTGATCAAACTCAAAACGAATCGCCTTGACAATCAATATACACCCATTAACACATGGTCCTGAAATTTAAAGTCTCATCATACAGTTTGAGTAACCTTTTAATCATAATATGTTGGTGTTCATGTTGTTCCCCAGGTTTATTGTAATTGCCATTAGGACCTAACAACAGTGGTGCTGCTATTTTTAGCAGTTATTTATAATGTCTTTGCCATCTCAGGATAGCTAACTTTCTTACCTAACTAAGGAAATGTTTCAGTTAGGTCTGTTCTGTAATAAACAAATTCCTATGCTAACATTAGATAACAGCATTTAGGATACATGTTTTTGTACCAAACACCCTAAATGTAAATAGAAAGCACAAAGCTGATAATCCTAACTCTCCCAGGCTCAAATAAGTTTAATACCACAACAGCAGCGTATGTCAGATTTTATGTGTTGGTAAATATTTGTCTGTCATCATGACTCACCACTTGATCTGCTGTGAAGTCAATGTAGCCTGGCAAAATCAGGAAGTCGCTGAAAGACAGACCAGACAAGGTTAGGGCAGCTAATATTACATAGACTATGGTCTAGACCTGCTCTATATGAAAAATGCACTGAGATAACTTTGTTTTGAAAATTATGAATTGGCACTTACTGAAGAAAACTGAATTGACAGCTAATGAAGACACAAACAATTTAATGCATAATCTGAAACCTCACATTCCAAAACTAAGAACTAAAACCTTAAGACTAACATCAACACATATTTAGGTCAAGTCTGTAAATAGTAACGTTGTTAATATTTTCCAGCCAAATATTTTCTAGTTCAGAAATAGAAAACCAAGAAGGCACTCAAGGAAAAGTGTGACTAAAACTACTCCGAGTGGGACATGACATGAATTACTTTCTCTGGAATCCTCAGGTGGTGTCATGTATCGGGTCAGACAACTTTTTAAATGCAAAGCATGCCGATGAATGTGGCAGTGAGACCCATGTGACAATGAGAACAAGAAGATGCAGAGGGCAAAATGGTGTGTTCAGGCATGTGACATGAGTGAACCACTACTATGCTTTAAAACACTGGCAAAAGCATACAAATTTAATCAATTAAATCATGGCCTCAGTGGGTCAAAGGGTCATCAATACACATTAGCTTTTGGCAATTTTAAAAAGACATCACTTTGTAAAGTGGTAGATATAGAAATATATTGATGTCATGATATGAGCAAAGATATAATCTGTGATTTTGGACAGGAAAGGTGCCAACATCTAGTCATTACGATCTGTGCTTTGCTGAACAGTGGACTAACACGTAGATGCTCTAAATATAGCCAGGGGCCAACAAGCCCTAAATTTGGGACCTGTGTGTGTATATAAGTTATGTTTCCCCCTCTCATTTCCAAGAGCCCAAAATCCAGACTACAGAAATGTTTTCACTTTTTAAATCCAGGTACTTTACTTACCAGAAATACTACAGTTTGTGGCTGGCAATGTGTAATTTAAAAGGTCAAAACAATCAACTGTCTGCAGGTAAAGGTCAACAGTCATAAAAATGCTGCCAAGTGTGATCTCCCAGTTAATATAAACACAAAGAGACTAGTTGTACCAACTTTGTACCAACCACAACGTGATTTCTTATATTGTTTCATTTAATACATTCCATACTTTGGGGGCACTTATTTTAAGAACATCAAATTAAAGACAAATTTGGGCTCTGGTAACTTCTAATGTACACTTGCGATTACTTTGGACATTTAGGAGACACTCCAATTTTAAACATTAAGTTCAGCTTGTGACAATAATTATCTGGCAGTCTGTGAAAACAGCTGTATTATTTCTTCAGTGGATCTGGAAGCACTCTCTCAAGTTTTTATTTTATTTTGAACCTGACAAGGTCACTATGATGTAAGATCAAGTGGGTTTGGAGCTTGACTCATCCTAGTTATAACTTATCCATTTAAAAAGGTAGTAGCTCAATGTTTCTTTGAACAAATAATGGATCGATTAAATCAGTAATGTACCAAAAGACTGAGTCTGACTCGAATGACAGTTTGCTTTTAACTTCTAACAATTATATTACTGTCAATCATTCATCCAATACTGACAATCAGTTATTTGGTCAACACTCCCCCAGTTGGACTTTATGCCAATCAGTGTATAACGTTAGTCCAGTCTGACTTTGGCAACAACAGATCGACTTGTTGGCCAACTGAGAAACAATCTACCAAACATTACATCAGTCACGTTAAGTAGTTCGTTGAGTGCGATACCATGCTTTGCCTGGTTAGCCCGGGGGAGAGGAGTCGGAATGATAATGGAGTCTTTACTTGTATGTCAGCCCGTCTCCTCCGTTGAACAGCTGCTGTCCCGTTAGCCCGTCATCAGGGACGTAACCGGTCTGCCCGCTGATCAGGTAGTCCGCCATGATGGTCAAATAACCCTCACCAGTCCTTCAGTCTAATAGACATAAACTTAACAAGCTGCTAAGGCAACGAGCAAATATACATATACACACACACACAGGCCCTGGAAGAAGAGACCAAGAACTCTCTTCGCCCCGAGTGCTGATCTCCTTCTGGCTTAGTTAAACTGTCCAACCGCTGTCCTGCTGCGCGCGCCTCTGGGAAGCCGGGAGGACCCGTGTCGTCTGACTCTGTTAACGGGTGGACACGGAACACAAAATGTTGCTATTAAGTCTTTTCAGTCAGAGTTTAGCTTTCATGTTCTCTCAACAGCTTCCTTCAGCACGTGTGTTACTCCCCTTTGACAGTTTTTTTTCCGACACTGACGTCACGTCCGGCCCTCAGACAAAGACAAAAAATTACTTTACGGTCGTACCTGGATGTGAAAAAAGATTCAACTCACTGGAACATACAGAAGACCCATCCATGGTTTGCGTCGTCAGCCTTTCGTCATAGTTTAGTTGGTGTACGTACTTACGGAGTACACAGCGTATGTTACTGCTGACATTTGACTTTAAAAACAAACATGTCTGTCATGGATCCTGCAACTGCTATTATCAACAACTCATTTAGCGAACACATTCTCCAAAACCTTACTGTATGGTCGGATGTTATTTGGAAAAAAGTTAATGGATTTCATAGGTTAGATATGCACTATGTGTCCCACATTATATGAACACTTCCCATTTTACAGTGGCTTCAAAACTTCATACAGCACATAAAACTATTTCACAATGCCTGTCATGCTTTGGAATAATCACTTGACGGCGCAATCCTCCCCACACTGCATGTTACTGTGTAAGTGGGTCACAAACATAAGGCCAGTAAAGTGGAGCAGTTAATACTATCTTGGAACATTGTAACACATAGCTTTATTAGGTGGTGGCAGACACCCAGAGCCCTTGTGTGAAACAAGGTGCCAATCCCATAATGTCAGAGGTGGCCTGGGTTTCTGCAGCATGTGTCAACACAATAGTGACTGTTGAAGAACTCTATATACATAGCCTACATATTATTCTAAATATAAAGTGTACAGCGTATGCATGCATTATTCTATCATTCACGTTTGCAGCACAGCTGCGGGAGAAACAAATGCAGATCTGGGGCCATATTACAGAAAGTTCCTATCCTAACTGCTTGGTAACCATGGTAATAAGGGTTAGGAAATCATTTAGGAAAAAGGCCATTACAGATTAACAGTTCCAATTCAAGATTCCTTTCTTAACTTTAGATAAGAAAAGTGTATTACAGAAGCATCCTAACCTTGTAAAATATAAAAATAAAAAAAAAACTCCCCTACTTTAGGTGTCTGTGAAGATTCTCAGTCATCCATGTCATAGTTATCCAACGAAGGTTAAAGTCAAGGGCAACTGGACTTGGTTGAAGATACTGGAAGACGTTAACTCGTTTAATCCACATGGTTGCTCTTTAATTGCTTTTACAAAATCAACAAAATGTCAACAGGCAGATCTTAATTGATTTTATCAATTTGTTTAATGACAAAACACAGAAAGGCTGTAGGTGACATAACACTAGATAATAGGGGAGACCGGGTATGGTTGTAACGTGGGGAGAGTTGTAACAACACCAATTCCATCAAATATAGATAAGTTAGGAGTTAGGTAAATACTGAAATGATCACCTACTTCCTCCCAGATCAAGCATGGTGGTTATCAAGTCTGGAAAGAGGTGCATTCAGAATATATAGAGAAAAAACTGATTTTGAGGTAAGAAAGTAAATTTTTTGACCAAGACTATTTTTTGTTTAGTATCTCAACTATTGCAGATAGAATTGCTTGACTTATATTAGATGGAAATATAGTTTCTCAGGCAACATGTGATGCACTTTTTCAATTCTAATTTCAAACCACTATGGTAATACCGCTAGCTCAACATTGGCTGACGGGGGTGGGGTGGGTTGCAACACTGATTTTAATATTCTACAGAGTACCCTTTGCAGTATGGGCCCACCAAACCGGCACCACAGGGTTACCAGTATTAATTGGTCAGCACTGTGACCAGTACTCCCCATTCACATGTTGTGCACATGTTGACGTGTGTATCGTCACTCGACCTTTTCCGTACTCTGTCTCCACCGGTGGAGAGGGTAGAAAAGCGTATGGGCAGCTTGTGAGAAGTGCCTGTGCGCAAAAAAAGTCCCAGTACGCCAAAGAGTAAATTATAGAAGTGCTGGTATACGTACCAGTGAATACTGGCTCACTTCAAGCACTGACTGTGACTCGGAATAAGAATATACACACATTGACACACACATACATACACCTATTTTTAGTTAGACCTAAGGATGTACAGATGTTCTTTAATTAGGAACATTTTAGTAGTATTAAGTATACTTTAAAGTAAGTTTATTCTATAGATAAATTTACGTACACACGAGTCATCAGACAAAGTCTGTTACAGAAAGAGTGAAACATTGTTCTTTGATATCACTACCTGTTTTGGAAGCTTATCATATAGTGTGGATTCTATTTTTGATTCTTTTGTGTGATTGTTACAACCTACCCCGCTATTGGGGTAGGTTGTAACAAGGGAACACATTGCATTGGACATCAACTCATGAGGTCTGTGATATTCTTGTAGAGGATTGAATTGGTTCCATTCGTAGTGAACATATGTGGGTTCTTTGTATAAAAATTTGAGAACTCTAGCTAAAAAAATTCAGTGAGTTATAGTTACTGAAGCAAAAAGTGTTACAACCATACCCGGTCTCCCCTATCTCATTATATAACATAATGTAAAGGCTGTAAGATGTAACAAAAGGATCCTAATGCAAGTGTTTGATAGGAGGAGATCGTTAAATTCAAGAAATACATGAAACACATGATGACGTTAGCCCGCAGCCTTTTATTCTTCTTTATTCTGTCATTAACTTTACCCAAGAACAGTAGCCTACTGGTTTTTGGCGGGGTCAGTGAGGGAGCACAGGAGGAGCCACCAATGGTTTCATCTGCTCTTTGGACACAACAGTTGCCTGTGTCTTTATTTCAATGTAAACAGACTTATGTTCTGTTGGACAGCATCTGCTGGATGACGGTGTTCTGTTGATTTATGCTACCTATCGAGATGTGCTACTCAGCGGTTCTGTGCATGACTCACAAACTTGGTCTGTTTCCACGCCCATAAATCTGTGCAACCTTGCTGTTCGACATGCCGTCGAGACAGTGGCTGATCGTCAGCAATATCAAAATAAAAAATCATTATTAGTCTATCATAATACGCTACCCCTGATATCTTAAATAAAGATGGTATAATATAGCATTTCAACATGCTCCCCATCTGCTCACAGTAGGCTGCACATGGACTGAGTAGTGGTGCAATATAAAATGATTCTACAGTGATAGAAGTATTTAACTAAAAGGATAATTAACCCATCACATTTTCTCCAGTAATATTACCATATTAGCCACCACTTGAAGCAAACACCCCATTACATTTTTGGAAATATATTGCTTTTATTTGACTCTTCTCATTGAAATTTAAGAACAACTCGGTTTAAAGGGTTTGATCTTCTGTTTATGTAGGTGCATATGTGTGTGTAATAAACACACGAGACAGGGTCTGGTTTTAAAAACTCTCAGTAACTATTTCTGTATTAATGTACAACCGTTGAAAATTACAACAATTTTTTTTTAATGTTTTTCTTTTTTCATTTTTTTTTAAAGAATCTGTCAACAGCCATTTTCCAGAAGAAATGCAAACAATGTGAGCAGGGAGAAAAGAGAAAATAAAGAGCAAATTAAAGTGAGGGGATGAAGGTAAAGAAAAAAAGAAAAAAGCACAAGATGGGGTAAGCAGGCAAATTAACAGTTAATTTTCTAAAGCGGAGTGTTTGAGCGTGTGTGTTGATGTGTGCATGCGATGTCAATGGGTGGTGCTGTAGTGTGCGTGAATGGCTGAGATTACACTTGGTGCTTCAAAACAACTGTATCATCTGATCAGTAGGGGTACAAATGCTAGCTTTTAATAATAAAGGTCTGGCACACACTGGTTTGGATCTACAATAGCTGACCACAATCAAGCAACCAGTATGAGAATGTAAAGAGAAAGATTTGACTGAGTAATTCAGTAGTGTTACTTCGGCCATAATGACTCCGTTATTTTGCTGCCAGTAGTGGCTATGGCAGGTCAGTTTTGGTACTAACACAAAGCAACAAAAAAGGGGACAAAGGGGCTGCGTTTATAGTTAAATAATGACAAATCTAAAAAAGTTGTCATCTAAACACATTCATCTTATTCTTTTGTATTTTGTGTACATGAACATGCATCACACATAGGGAAAAACTGTATTTTGTTGCCCCCAAATATTCATCTGTCCAAGTTGATAATAATGTTTGTTCAAAACAGAGCCAGGTCAGCGTCAGCGACATGGTTAATCTAAAAGTATCACACTCCACTAGCTGGCGCAGTTTTGAGATTTTGCAATACTTGAAGTAAACAAACAACCTTTTCCATAAAACCTTCCACTACTCAATCATCTTTCCTATAAGCAGTTTCTTATCCATTTATTTCAATTAACATATTGCAGTTTAGGAGGGGTGAATGCAAATGTGTGGAAAGTTCAGAATATCAACTTTGCATGTGTTCAGGCCAATTCAGCAGGCGCGACAGGTACTCTTGCACATGCAAGAGCCAGCTAGTCATTATGTTTTATGTGAAACCACCAACTACAGATCCACAATCAGTGCAGTCTCCTTAAAGAAAAATGTATTCCATTTCCCACATCTGCTTAATAACAAAACCTGCTCCATCCTTAGCAGTTTTACTCTAATGATTATTCCAGCATCGCTGGGATAATGTTGGAGAAAACAGCTGACTACTTACACAGGCAACATGTTGCTTGTGACTGCTCATGTCAGTGTCTACCCACTGTTTTCCGACACACCACAACTCATAATTTGACCATTATGATCAATTGATCAGATCTGAAAAGTTGCAACAAGTGTAACCACAGTGACTGTGATGTCCTGAAGTCAAAACAAATAAATGAGGTGAGGATGAGAAACAGAAGGAGAGATTCAATCGTGCCATTCTGTGACCCTGCAGCATTATGGGAGCGAGAGGGGGGAAAGAAAGAAAGAAGCAAATGAGCAAATGTAGAGAAGCAGAAGTAGGGGTCTGTATCACTGCACCAAGGGATGGTCATAGAAGGAGGCAAAGGTGGGAGAGGCAAGGGAGAAAGTAAGGAGGGAGATGCTGGTTCTTTGCAATCGCTGCAGAGCTTCAGGTGTCGTGGAAATCCTTCAGCAGCGTGCGTCGCCTCTGCTCAGCAATGTGCATCTGATTCTCCAGATCCTGTAAAAACATAGAAAAAACATCAGTTATTA